TCACCACTCTTATTCAACATAGTTTGGGAAGTTTTAGCCACAGCAATCAGAGAAGGAAAGGAAATAAAAGGAATCCAAATTGGAAAAGAAGTAAAGCTGTCACTGTTTGCAGATGACATGATACTACATATAGAGAATCCTAAAGATGCTACCAAAAAACTACTAGAGTTAATCAATGAATCTGGTAAAGTTGCAGGATATAAAATTAATGCACAGAAATCTCTGGCATTTCTATACACTAATGATGAAAAATCTGAAAGTGAAATCAAGAAAACACTCCCATTTACCACTGCAACAAAAAGAATAAAATATCTAGGAATAAACCTACCCAAGGAGACAAAAGACCTGTATGCAGAAAATTATAAGACACTGATGAAAGAAATTAAAGATGATACAAATAGATGGAGAGATATACCATGTTCTTGGACTGGAAGAATCAACATTGTGAAAATGACTCTACTACCCAATGAAATCTACAGATTCAATGCAATCCCTATCAAACTACCACTGGCATTTTTCACAGAACTAGAAAAAAATTTTTCACAATTTGTATGGAAACACAAAAGACCCCGAATAGCCAAAGCAATCTTGAGAACAAAAAATGGAGCTGGAGGAATCAGGCTCCCTGACTTCAGACTACAGTACAAAGCTACAGTAATCAAGATAGTATGGTACTGGCACAAAAGCAAAAGATAGATCAATGGAACAGGATAGAAAGCTCAGAGATAAACCCACGCACATATGGTCACCTTATCTTTGATAAAGGAGGCAGGAATGTACAGTGGAGAAAGGACAGCCTCTTCAATAAGTGATGCTGTGAAAACTGGACAGGTACATGTAAAAGTATGAGATTAGATCACTCCCTAACACCATACACAAAAATAAGCTCAAAATGGATTAAAGACCTTAATATATGACCAGAAACTACCAAACTCTTAGAGGAAAACATAGGCAGAACACTCTATGACATAAATCACAGCAAGATCCTTTTTGACCCATCTCCTAGAGAAATGGAAATAAAAGCAAAAATAAACAAATGGGACCTAATGAAACTTCAAAGCTTTTGTACAGCAAAGGAAACCATAAACAAGACCAAAAGACAACCCTCAGAATGCGAGAAAATATTTGCAAACGAAGCAACTGACAAAGGATTAATCTCCAAAATTTACAAGCAGCTCATGCAGCTCAATAACAAAAAAACAAACAACCCAACCCAAAAATGGGCAGAAGACCTAAATAGACATTTCTCCAAAGAAGATATACAGACTGCCAACAAACACATGAAAGAATGCTCAACATCATTAATCATTAGAGAAATGCAAATCAAAACTACAATGAGATATCATCTCACACCAGTCAGAATGGCCATCATCAAAAAATCTAGAAACCATAAATGCTGGAGAGGGTGTGGAGAAATGGGAACACTCTTGCACTGCTGGTGGGAATGTGAATTGGTACAGCCACTATGGAGAACAGTATGGAGGTTCCTTAAAAAACTACAAATAGAACTAACATATGACCCAGCAATCCCACTACTGGGCATATACCCTGAGAAAACCATAATTCAAAAAGAGTCATGTACCAAAGTGCTCATTGCAGCTCTATTTACAATAGCCCAGAGATGGAAACAACCTAAGTGTCCATCTTTGGATGAATGGATAAAGGAGATGTGGCACATATATACAATGGAATATTACTCAGCCATAAAGAGAAATGAAATTGAGCTATTTGTAATGAGGTGGATAGACCTAGAGTCTGTCATAGAGTGAAGTAAGTCAGAAAGAGAAAGACAAATACCGTACACTAACACATATATATGGAATTTAAGAAAAAAAAATGTCATGAAGAACCGAGGGGTAAGACAGGAATAAAGACACAGACCTACTAGAGAACGGACTTGAGGATATGGGGAGGGGGAAGGGTGAGCTGTGACAAAGCGAGAGAGAGGCATGGACATATATACACTACCAAACGTAAGGTAGATAGCTAGTGGGAAGCAGTTGCATAGCACAGGGAGATCAGCTCGGTGCTTTGTGACCGCCTGGATGGGTGGGATAGGGAGTGTGGGAGGGAGGGAGATGCAAGAGGGAAGAGATATGGGAACATATGTATACGTATAACTGATTCACTTTGTAATAAAGCAGAAACTAACACACCACTGTAAAGCAATTTTACCCCAATAAAGAGGTTAAAAAAAAAAGAGAGAGAGAAATTCGCAAGCAAAGGAACTGGAACACCCAAAACAGCTCTGAAAATGAAGAACAGAGTTGGAGGACTTGCACTATCTGATTTCAAGACTTAGTGCATATATGGGAAAAGAATCTGAAAAAGAATATATATAAAAATGTATAACTGAATCACTTTGCTGTACACCTGAAACTAACACAACACTGTAAATCAACTATACTCCAATATGTTGATAAAATTAAAATTAAAAAATAGACTTACTGTAATCAAGACAATGGAGTACTGGTGTAAAGACACACATTTAGATTGATGAACAGAATAGAGTGAGTTCAGAAATAGACTTAAACATACATGGTCAGTTGATTTTTGATAATGGTACCAAGAATTTCAATGAGGAAAGGATAATCTTTCATTAAATGACACGTGAACTTTTGGATATCCATATTAGTATGTATAAATATATGTATGTATGTATATATTTGTGTGTGTGTCTAAAAAATGAAACAGATCTTAGACGTATATTTAAAAGCTAAAACTATAAACTTTGTAGAAGAATCATAGGAGAAAATTTAGGGATCTTGAATTAGACAAAGATTTCTTAATAGGACACAAAAGCACAAACCATAAAAAGAAAAATCGGGTTCATCAAAAGTAAAAACTTTTGCTCTTTCAAAGGTACTGTTAAAAAAATGAAAAGGCAAGCCACACAATATCAGAAAATATTTGCAAAGATGTATCTTTGTGTGTAAAATACATGAAAGACGTGTATTTTACAACTCAATAAGAACACAAAAAATCTATTTCTTTTAATGGGCAAAGGATTTAAAGACACTCTACAAAAGAAGATATATGGATGACAAATAAGTACATGAAAAGACATTCAACATCATTAGTTATTAGAGAAACGCAAATGAAAACCACAATGAGATACCACTATATACCTAATAGAATAGCTAAAATTAACAAACCTGACAATACTAGGTATGGACCACAATATAGAGCAACTGGAACTTTTATCCATTATTGGCAGGATTGATTGCCACTTTGGAAAACATTTTGGCATTTGTTCATCAATGGGTAAATGGTTAAACTGTGAGATATCCATACAATTCACTACTACTCAGCAATTAAAAGGAATGAACTGTGGACACATGCAACAACATAGATGAATCTCAAAAGCATCATGCTAAGTGAAAGAACCCAGACATGAAAGAAGATATACTATATAATTATATTTATATGAAATTCTAGAAAAGGCAAATCTATAATGATAGAAAGCAGTTCAGCAGTTGCCCGGAGCCAGGGTATGGAGTCAGCACTGACTGCAAAGGGGCAAAACAAAACTTTTAGGGATAATGGAAATATTCCACAGCAAATGCAGTTTGTCAAAACTCAGTGAAATTACCATAAAATCGCTAATTTTTAAAAAATTGAAGTATAGTTAACATACATTATGTTAGTTTCAGGTATACAACATAGTGATTAAATATTTTTATAGATTATACTCCATTTAAAGTTATTACAGAAGAATTGCTCTGTTTCCCTGTGCTGTACACCCTTGTTGCTTATTTATTTTATACACAGTAGTTTGTATCTCTTAATCCCTTACCCCTATCCTGCCCCTCCTTCCTCCCTCTCCCCATTGGTAACCACTATTTTGTTCTCTATGTCTGTGAGTCTGTTTCTGCTTTGTTGCATACATTTGTTTGTTTTATAAAATAGCTAATTTTTATTGAATGTGAATAATAACAATAAAGCTGATTAAAAGAAATCAGTAAAGACACAAACAGGTCATTAACAAAATACGAAATTCAAGTGACAGATTTTTAAAAATTTAACGATACTAGTAAACAAACAATACACTACGTACTATCATTTTTTAACTGTTTAATTGACTTTAAAATGTAAAGAATGATTATAGTTTCAAGTGAAGAGTACATGAAGTGAGCATTCTTACACACTGCTGGTGGGAGAGTACAAAGGTACAACTTCCTGAGAACACAGAAATGTGTTTCAACAGCCTTAAAAATATTTAGAGCCTTTGATCAAGTAATTTGAATTCTAATAATTTATCCCGAGGAAACAACCAGGATGGTACAAAAAAATTATGAACAAACATAACACTATTTATAGATGCTGACTGAATTATGTTCCTTTCATAGGATGGGATATTATTCAGTCATTTAAAATACATGTGCAGGGCTTCCCTGGTGGTGCAGTGTTTAAGGATCTGCCTGCCAATGCAGGGGACACGGGCTCAATTCCTGGTCCGGGAAGATCCCACATGCCGCAAAGCAACTAAGCCTATGCGCCACAACTACTGAGCCTGCGCTCTAGAGCCCGCGAGCCACAACTACTGAGCCCACGTGCCACAAATACTGAAGCCCGCACGCCTAGAGTCCCCACACCGCAACAAGAGAAGCCACTGCAATGAGACGCTTGCACACCGCAACGAAGAGTAGCCCCAGCTCACTGCAACTAGAGAAAGCCTGCGCACAGCAACAAAGATCCAACTCAGCCAAAAACAAATAAATTTATGTTAAAAAAATAAAAAAAATAAAATACATGAGCATGCCCTCCCCACCCCCACCAACAAATCCACAGACATACACACATGCACGCACGCACACACACACACACACACACACACACACATTCACAATATTCTCCTCGGTGTAAGAAGCAACCAGTACCACCTAAGTAATTACTACTAAAAGCCCTTTACTGACAAAAAAAAGGAAGCCTAGGATTTCAGATAAGTAAAGTAGATATATATCCACGACAATGTCACAAAAAGTGATGTTACTCTATACCTTTATATCACCGTCAATTTTTTCCCATTCTTCTGCTGTGAAACTGGCTGCTGTCGCTGCAGGTTTCTCTCTCCTCAAAGCTCTACTTCCAGGAGCCAAGCCTGAAAGGCGCTTTTCACAAAATTCAGTAAGTTCAGGATAATATCCTTCCTCACCAGACCTTTTAAAAAATTCAGAATTTTAGAGTTACCACTTCATTTAGAGATCATATAGACCAGTGGTTTGCAAGCTGGGTTCCATGGAGCCCAGGGGTTCCACAGAGATCTCACAGTCTGCCCCGAATGAGGATGAAGGCTGAGCTGCTGCCTTCCCCTCACCGTCCTCAATTAGAGCAACCTCCACTTTCACATGCTAATCTATGGAGTACTGCGATGAAGGGGGAAAAAGGAGCTCCAAAGAAGACATCAATTTCCATCACACACTTTAAAAGTTGAATAGGTAACATATTCTCTCCTCTTCAGCACACATATGTTCATTTTGCATATAAGGTAATTTTAAACTTATAAATGGAAATTCATTATTAGAGACAGGCAAAGAGTGAGACTCTGGACTTACTTTCCAATGAGGAGTTACTGTTCTAGCTCATTTTCTTTTTACCCCCAAAGGGATAGGAAGAAAATGGCAGAAGAACAGTTTAGAACAACACACCTCTAAATTCAACCACTCAAGGAACAGAATTCCTTCCTTAGTTATACAGAGACATGCGTTCTCTTTTGCTTTTTTTTTTTAAGGAAAATCAATCTTTTCCCCATTCTTGTGAATCTGTTTATTTCTAAATTTTTAGAAAAATAAAAATAAATCCCATTTTCAAAGTAAATTAAAAAAAGAATCCCAAGTCAATACAATTTAATTAGGCTATTCATAAAATGTCTTTCAAACTCTTTCAACCCATAAACTTCGCATTTTCTTTTAGTCTTTAATCAAATAAAAATGAAAACGTTCTTATATGTTGAGAAAAGCGAGAGGGAAAACAATGATATGATGAGGCTATTACATCAACACTGGCTGGGGACAAGCAGGGATGCTTAGGAAGGACAGGAGGCTAAAGGTGATAAGAAAGAAAAAGGAAAAAAAAAGAGAGAAAGAAAAAGGAAAGGACACAGCAGTAAGGAAGGGCATCAGAGGAAAGAAAAGAGAGAACCACTGCCGAGCAAAAGGAATACTACTGATGTCCCGGAAATGGGCAGTTTGTGCTCACAAGTGCTTCTGCAGTAATGAGGCGATCCTCCAAATGAAAAACCCTCAAAAAACCCCAAACAGGTGGCACAGGTTGGTAGGCCACAGGGCAGTGTTTCTTGTAGAGTTCCCTTGACCACCCGCATGTTGATCAGCCAGTGTGCTCGTTAAAAACACATTCCTGGGCTCTACTCATGATTTCCTGAAGCAGAATCTCTAGGAGTGGGGCCCTCAAATTTGCATTTTCTAACCACCATGTTTGGCAAATATTAAAGTTTGACAATCACAGCCCCAGGGCTCTTACCCAGAAAAGGCCTTGATTCCCTGACTTCTGGGGTCCCCCCCACCCCATCCCCATGCGACGGCTCCCAGTGAGTGACCCACCTTTGCTGGCAGATCGTGTGAAGTGGGAGAGTGCCAAAGCACTTTATCAGCATAAGCAGGTGCCTCCTAAGGGCTGCTTTACCGGTTCCTAGAAAGTGCCAGGAAGCAAGAAAAATGCCCTCTTGGATACTAATTAGCCTAAGTCTTGTGCTGGGAGTAGATCTAGCCAGAACCCGCCAAACTAACCACAGGATTGAAACCACTATTTTGGAACCTAACATGGACAAAAACAACAATTTCAGTATTGGAAAATCTGCTCCAAAATTTCTAATGTAGCTTTGAATTTTAGAAGTCAACAATATAAAATTGGCAAACTGAAACATGATATGATTTTTAAATGCTTACCTGAGCACACAAAGAATTTTTTCCAAGTGTTTAACATCTGAACATTTTTCAATATACTTGAAATCCAAATGTTCAACAGGTATTTTAAATGTTTTTGTTGTTCCAAAGCCCCACAATGATGGATAATCTTTGGCAGTCATGGCTGAAATATAGTGTAGGAAAATAGTTATGAATCTAATGTATACATTAATACTCAATTTGGATAGTAGTAACCATCTAGGTACTTCTGTATTATTTATTTTTCATTTCCATAGAAAAGGAGATGGAGTATTTCTTCTAAGGAGGAAGCTACTCATTGTAAATTCTCTCTCCCTGATAAGAACAGTTAACATTCATCGGGCTAAATTACTATATACCGACTTCCCTGGTGGCGTGGTAGTTAAGAATCTGCCTGCCAATGGAATCTTGAAGCCCCTGAGATTTTATGATTTGAATAAAATATGGTGAAAAACACTTGAAATGATAAAGACACCTCTTACCTAATCAAGCGAATTTTATTCTGAACACTGTTTCAACGTTTCTGAGAATCCTTTTTGAAAACTACCACTTGGGGGGGTGGGGGTGGGTAGGAGAGATTCTCAAGACCACTAAACGTTAACTCTCAAACTCCAAAAACCAAGTCATACAATACTTTGTTTGCTCTACTTAGAACTCTTCCACATCTGTTTGCAATTTCTTTGCCCCTGATTAGAAAAAACTTTGGTCCTAATTGGCGTTAATTTCTTCTCCACCGTCCTAATCCACATCCATTTCCCATATTTCCTAATCAGTATATCAGTAATACCTCCAGCACAAACTGCAATGGGCTAGTAACACGAAAAATGGTTTTCTTCCACCTAGGCACGTTCTTTCCAGCAGCCACAGGGCTGGGCGCCACCTGCAGCCAGAGACCGGAAGGAAACGGCATCCTCCAGCAGTAGCAACGGTTTCTATGTACAGCGCGGGTCAGGGACTGCCTGAGATCCGAGAGCTCTACAGCCAACCCGCAACGGTCAAGGGGCACTTTAGGACTCTACGAAACTTCTCCCCATTCCTCTGCTTTGTTCACAAGGACCGGTGGCCGCCGCCAGAGCCCGGGAACCTCCCCGCCGCACCACCACCTCCGCGTTGCCGCTCTGCCCCAACATCCGCCACCGTCAGCCCCGAGAAACAGAAGGCCCCCAGGCTGTTGCCCCGGCCGACAAGGACATTCCTCCAACTGCAGTCCGATAGCGCATTTGCTCCTCCGGGTCCGTCTTCCACCCCGGCTCCCAGAGGAAGGGATTGCGATGGAGAGAGGTAGTTTACTCCTGGCCTGCAGATACTCACCTGGTTCAGACCCCAAGCCTTGCGGAAGCCGCAGCCACACACCAGTCGCGCGGCTCGTAACCAAGGAGGGGCGTGTCGCCCCGGGCCACTCACCCCACTCCGGCACCCGAGGGCTTGCGGCGGACCGCCGGGGGCGGGGATTAGGGCCTCTGCGTGATGACAGGCTAGTCTCCGGTTTGCCATTCGGCTGATGGGCCTTGCAGACCCAGCTTCACCCGAACAGAAGAACGTTAGCCGAGAAATAAGAGTTGCAATTCCACGTGCCCTGTAATTTTCCTTTCACGCACACTTTGGTTTTTTTCTGGTTACAATTATGTACATATACAATTATGCTGAATAAACAAGCAGGATAAAAACTAACTCAAAGGAAATGGACTATGCAGGCAAATGAAAATTACCACTATCATCTTCATAAAGACATTGCGTCCAATAATTAATAGATGGATTAGAAAGTAAAGTTGAAGAAATCTTTCACAGAGCAGATAAAGAAAAAAAAGGAAATCGAAAAAGATGAAAAAGTTAGGTCTAATATTAGATTTAAAAGATCTAGAGAGAATACTGAGGGTAGGAAGTTATCAATTCAAGGAAATTTTCCAGAATTGAAGAGCTTGAGTTTCCAGACTGAAAGCACCCACCAAGTGACCAAAACAGGGAAGGAAAACAGACCCATACCAAGGCACAAACTGCAAAATTTCAGGACACTGGCAAAGAAAATTCTAAGTTTCTAGAGCGAAAACAGGTCACATACAAAGCATTAGGAAGAATAGTTTTGCACTTCCCACAATAATACAGAAAACTAGATGGCATTCTGACACTGGGGAAGAACACAAGACAGGTCATTTCAGGCAGAGAGAAAGGCAGGAGCACAGGCAAAAAGGTCCGTTATCTGCTTAAGGAACTGCAAACATCTCCTTAAAACCAAGATTGAGAGGTGGGTTGAAGTGGTGACAGAGGCAGGAAAGGAGTCTATACTATTCCCAAATATACTATTCCCAATAGTTTTCGTTTTATCAAAATGGGAAGCTACTAAGAATTTTCAGCAAGACAGTGCTGTGCAATTTCTATTTTACAATGAGCAAGCTGGGAATTCCCTAGTGGTCCAGCAGTTAGGACTCTACAATCAGCAAGCTAAAGAGTATGGAAAACAGCAAGACCAGTAACTGAGACTAATCCTAAGACTGATACAAGCACCTGTGCAGAAAATGCTAATACTTTCTGTAATGGTGTTAACAGTTATTAGATTAAGAGTTTTTATGGAGTATTTAATTTTATCTTGCAGCAAACCTTTGACATAGGTGCTATTATTTCATGCCCATTTTACAAATAAGGAAAGTGAATCTTGGTAGTCACTGACATACAACAAGGGACACTCTAGGAATACGGACCCAAAGCCTTTTGCCAAAGTCCATACTGTTTCCTGTGCTCCTAAGTACTAACCAATTCACAAGTAAGTCCTATTCAACTTCAAAACATATCTCACAACCAGCTACTTCTCACTCCCTCTACGCCTACCCTGGCCCAGCCACCATTACTCTTAGCCTGAACTTTTACAGGTGGCCGCTAACTGGCTTCCCACCATCCCGTCCCTATATTGTCCGTTCCCACAGAACAGACCCAGTAATCTTTTAAGTCTGGGCAGAGGGTGGAGGGTGGAGGGATGTGCATGTATTTGTACATGTAAGGAGGCAACTTGTTTTTACGCGTTCTCAGTTTACACTTTCTCACTTTATGTGATATTTTAATCTTCTTAAAATTGGTCATTTATGATTTCATCTACTAGTTTTGAATGTCATTAACTTCAATCTCTGAAGATAGCTTCAGAGTCCAAAAGCACTGAACTATCATTAATTCCTTGACTTTGACAAGCTGAAGTCAAAAGAAATAAACTGGCCAGTAACTGAGTAGCAGCGCTGGATTTGAACCAATTTCCGTGTATTCATATTTTTGATGGACCTGCGTGTCTACAGCCATTGGTAAGCAGTTTAGTAGGGGACAAGTTATGTATTAGCTTCAAGCTCAGATTTACTGATTTTTATATTTATAGAGTACTATTCAAAAGGATCTTTTAAAAGCAATTTTATATCTATTTTACCTTTTCTTAAAACTGTCCAGGTAGGCAAGAGGTAAAATTACATCCATTTTATAGACGATGGGGACACGAAGAGATAACTGAAACGATGGTCTTGAGTTCCAGTGGTTAATACTTTTCCCATTAAACCACTGTCTAGTTAACGAAATAACAGTATTCAATTAAACTATTGATACACAAAGGACCTATGATGAAATTAGAATAGTTAAGAGCAACATTACCCAATGAGTTGTGGTTTAGGAGGCTGTCATAAAGAGATATTTATTGGGACTCTTGTACAAAAAGGACCAGCTCAAGAAGGAACATGGCAGGGCTTCCCTGGTGGCGCAGTGGTTGAACGTCTGCCTGCCAATGCAGGGGACACGGGTTCGTGCCCTGGTCTGGTAAGATCCCACGTGCTGCGGAGCGGCTGCGCCCGTGAGCCATGGCCAGTGAGCCTGCGCGTCCAGAGCCTGTGCTCCGCAACGGGAGAGGCCACAACAGTGAGAGGCCCGCATAGCGCAAAAAAAAAAAAGTGGCAGAATTACAAAATTATGAAAGCCACAGTCCAGGAAAACCTGGACCAAGGAAGCACTCTTTAAAAATATTAAGTATGGTAGTACTTTGTATAGCACATAATAAATTTACATAACAATATTTGAGGATGGTAGTAGAAACAATGTTTTGTTTTCTTTTTTAAACAGCACAGTTGCACAGTTAATACTTTCAATGTGCGAGACACACAAAACTATTAACAAAGTTGAAATATATCTAATCGAATCCTGGAACAGATGGAGTATCTGAGCATCCATATCTCTATCAAGGCAAAAGCTTTAAACATTCATCCAATTTAGTGTAAACCAACTCCTACTTTTTCTATATCCTGAAAGCAGAGTTTTTTACCTTAATGATTACACCTGGGAAACTGCACCTGCCTTAATAGTCTGCTTCATCCACTTTACTTGGGGTTGATTTTGCCTTAGAGAAAGCAATCATTAAAGTTTCTTTTCCCTTGCCAAAGATTTAAAAAACAGTCAAGCATTATATACAAATACAGAAAGGCCTATGCCAAGTTAACAAATAAATTATAACTCAAAATGAGGTATGCACACTGATAGTAAGTGCGTTGGTATACTCTATACAAAATGAGGCTGGAGAGTTTACAAACAATTGGTGATGTAAAACAGTGGTTTCCTAGGAACTTACTTAATCAGACCTTTAAAGGGCCCTAGCAAACGTCATTTTTAACAAGGGCCCCAGATGATTCTAGGTTTTGATTAAAGTGTAGTTTGGGGAATCACTTTTAACCTTCATTGTGTGTCAGATTATATATACGATAAAATTAAATTACAAACCATGTAACTGAACAAAAATATCTTTATATAAGCTATTAATAGATACCTAAATACAATATGGTTTTTAAAATGAAATCATGTGTATATAGTTGTATTCATAAAGTACACTAATCAAAAGCTATATGACAACATTAATAGCAAATCCAAATCCAAATGAAGACATTCCTCTGTATTTCATCTTTCATCGAGCATCAAAAACCACCACTATACAAAAACTGAGTTAAGGACAAAATAAGTACTTCAAAATTATATTAAAAATTTAATGCTTCCAAGTCACTTTCTCTTTGCAATAAGCTAGTTATTTAATCTAAAATGCACAAAAGAATGAAGTTCACTATTTACTATAATTAGAAATGAACTAAAAAAATAAACTATTTTAATTATTAGCCCCCCCATGATACAAGAGACCAATGCACCAAGAAACACTAAAGCAGTGTTAAAAGTGATAATTTAGTGATCTAAAAAACACTGGTAGTTATTACATACCAATTTACTCTCAGTCTTTCAGCTAATTTGTAAGCCTCACTTATTCCATTAGGTAGCATACAAACTCAATATCTGTATTTCTCCTTGTATCATTTAGTTTGCCCATAAACTGAAGCTCAAGAATGAGTACTTATATACAGAATCCCTGAAAAAATACACTTATGAAAGCCAAAATCAACTAGTATTTAGATTATTTAGTATATGTCTATACACTGGAGTACTGGTCCATGAAAATGCTAATCATGCCTTTTGTTTTTTTGGTAAGTAATCCAAGTTGTTACCATTTTTACCAGAAATTAGTCTTTGACTATCAAACTATGCATTTTTTTCTTCCTCTTATCTCATAGTCATAAAGCTTTTTTTTTCACTTCCTCTTATCTCATAGTCATAAAGCTTAGTTAGAAGGATACGTCTTTTAGTTCTTTTCTTGTACATTATTCTGTATCCACATTCTCTGCAACGGATTGGATCCCTTGATTTTATTTCATTTTCTGTGTGACATTCTAGAAACAAAACACGTTTATTCAATGCCTAAAAGAGAAATATTACAGACGAGCAAATTATCTTAACCATGCTTTTCACCCAAAGCACTAAAATATAGTATACTCAGTCTCAAGGGTATGTTGCCATTACCAACATATTAAGGGAGAAAGAAAAAAAGAGTGGCAGACAATGCATTTTTCCTAGGAAAGAAAATGAAATCTTAATACGAGGATTTTTTTTTAAGATTGTTAAAGTTGTTCTGCTTTCTAACTTTAAAGATGACTCATTTAAGCCAAAGATAAATGCAATAATTTTTTTAAAACTGAGGTGAAATACTCTTACTTTTGTGTTACTCTTACCTCCACAGATATATATCATTGGCTGCTGCTTTGGGGGTTGAACGTCCTTCTGGGTGTCCATTGTTGTCCCTGAAATCACAGACTCAAATATTTAATATCTCAAATGGCGTCCTCACAAATCTAACCAGGCCTCATGTTTCTCGGAGAAAGCTAAAAAGGCCGCAATTCCTAATCTGTGCTTTTTTCAAATCCTATAGGTGGGTCTAAAGAACGAAACAAAAAAACAACGTATTGTGCATTTACCCCCAAACTGGACACAATAATAAACACTTTACATATGTCATTTCAATTATGCATGCTATTTCATTATAATCTTTACAACAATTCTAGGAGGTATTACTCTTATTTTACAGATGAAGGAACTGGGGTTTAAAGAAGTTAATTTGGGCAGGATTATTCATCTGTTAAGAGTCAGAGATTTAGATCTGACTGCAAAGCTCGCGTCTTCATTTAACACAAGTTCCAAACTTTAGCAAGAGATTGCCAAAAAACTGTATCCCTCAACAGGAGAACATGGGAACCGAAGATAAGGGAAGAACAAAGAAATAACTCCCAACGGCTAAAACGCCAACAGCTAAAGAGGCAAACAACCCAACAGCTAAAAAGGCAAAGGCCTAACAGCATCGACTCTATCCCCAGTCTCTCCCGACTCTAACCCCACACCGGACCTGTTTAGCCCCTAGCGTCTTTCCAGTTTTGGCCCAAATACCTACCCCCCAATCCGCCAATTACCTACACACGTAACACGGAGAAACTTCTCTGCTTCTCCGAACAGACTCCGCCTCGCCGCTGTATGGCAGCCAACTTCCGGCGCTGGCTTATGACGCAAGCGGAGTCTCCGCCCCTTCCGCCCCAGGTGTGGCAGAGAAAGCCGGATTGAGTACAGGTGGTGAAACTGGTTTGGTTTTTTTGTTTTTTGTTTTTTGCGGTACGCGGGCCTCTTACTGCTGTGGCCTCTCCCATTGCGGAGCAGAGGCTCCGGACGCGCAGGCTCAGCGGCCATGGCTCACGGGCACAGCCGCTCCGCAGCATGTGGGATCTTCCCGGACCGGGGCACAAACCCGCGTCCCCTGCATCGGCAGGCGGACTCTCAACCACTGCGCCACCAGGGAAGCCCAGCGGCTGCTTTTTCTGTATTTCAGACTCCGGACAAAAGTGCTTGTTTTGGTCTCACCTGTTTTCACTCTTCAGGGAAGTAAAGCGTTTTAGAAGCTCCTCAAGTCGAAGGAGGTTTGTTTCTCTGACATATGAAGTCGGTAGAAAATAACACTTTTCCAGGAGGGCAGAGGGTTAGAAGAGAAACCCAAGTGAAGTGTTCGTGGAATCCTAGGCTGACCGTTACTCCGAGGAACGTAGAAGAATCGGCTCCACCGCTGATTTCCACGTAGAAAAGCACTTTTCAGATTATGCATTTCCAGTCGTTTGATACCTGTGCCGGGGCAGTGGAGCAGCCGCCCCTATCCTTCCTTAGAATCATTTCGTTTTTGCTTTTCGCCCCTTTCTCTCCTAGGCTCCCGTCATCCCTGTAACCCCCTCCTTTTACTCGTTTTAAAGCACAGGTGGGCTTGCGGGCAGCTACGTCAATTACTCCCACTTAAAGCTAAGGGATTTAGGTAGTAGTAGCTGTCCATTGACTCTCCTTTCATCCCATGTAATAATTGCTCCCCAGAAGAACAAAACGACTTGTCCAGTGGAGGCGTGTTCTTTCAAAGATCAAAATTTTAGTGAGACTAGTAACAGTTGGGTTCACAACATTTGCATTCGTTTGCTTCTTTCACAGCAGGTATTTTACTTATATCACGAGAGAGAAGAAAATGAAGTTATTAAAACTTAGAAACTAGCAAGTTGTGAATAACTATTTTAGTTAATCTGAGAATCAGGTTTCTTTCTCCCCAACATGCACTACTTTGGTTTTTATTAAGCAGGCTATACCGCTTTTCGGTCTTCCATCCAGCAACTTGGGAACCTTGAGCCTCACCTTTCACTTCCAGAAGGAATTCCAACTGGTTGCACCTCCACAGACCAGCCTGAGAGATTTAACTCGATTTTCTCAGTCTTCCTAGCTGCCGATTTTTTAATTTCCAGGAAACACAGTGGACTGTCCTGCTTCTTTCTCCACAGATAGGCTAAGATAGAACATAAATATTTTGATCATCAGCTCTCTTATGAAATACCCCCCCTCTTAGCCAAAGGGAACAGGTAATCCAATAGAACAGTCAAAATTAGCTTCACTCAAGAAATATTAGGTAAAACCATTGTCATGATAAGAGAAAGATTATGGAGTGATCCAGAAAGTGTAACTTTAATCATTGCAAACTGACCTGGGTTCTGACTATGCAGCTTGAGGTTATCAAGATGATGCTGGAATGTAACACAGTTTGTGGAGATCAGAATGGATCAACACATGTAGAATACAAATGGAACCCTACAGAGGGTTAGGGTAAAGACAAGTTATAGCAAGGAGATCCAGAATTTCAACAAGAGTTCATGTCGAGGCTAGTTCCCAATGCAACATTCTCTTTCCTATCAGCAGTCACCAGTAATTTTAGGATCATTTTGGAGCATGGTCTGTGGAAGCTGTTATCAATGGTGACAGCTAACTTTTCTTGAGCATTTGCTACGTGCCGGACATCATCGCATTGCTCTCTCTTAATGAGGGCATTTGTTTTGCCAACTTGGATACTAGTGTTTTTAAATGCTTACATTGCAATAATATGGTTATGGAGATGCAAGTTGCTATTTTCCCCCTGAGTATCTGTTTTCCTTTTTCTTGATCATACTCATTTAAGTATACCTGCATAGCTTGACTATCATGGTGATGGAAAACCCTTTCAGTATGTTTTCCTGGATGGTCTCCAAAAGAAGCGTTAGCTCTGTGGAAAACATATGGGTTTTAGAATTCTGAAGTCAGTAATGAGATTACACCCAATCCAGAAAGGGAAGGGAAAAGGCCAAAGACTGTGATGTGTAAAGAATTGGAAAATATAGCTCAGTGGCTTAAATTTGCGCTATATGAGTAAAGCTAGGGCAAGCTACATGTAACTAGGTGTCTTTTTGCCATTTTTGGGGTGGGGAGGGGTGTAAAATTATTCTTCGAGTGAATAGAAGAGAGTTATGATACATTCTTTTACTCTTCAGTTGTAACAAAATATCTAAAGAAAAATTACTAGAGAAAGAGAAAAGGGCAATGTTTAATCGTGTTGTGGGGTCGTGTGGCTTTTATTTAACCATAGGCAAAATCCCCTGCCCTGTTTACAGTGGAGTGGGGAGCAGACCTTACACAAAGTAAGTAAATAATACAGTATTTTATAAGGTGATAAATTATATGGAGAAAATTCCGGAGAGGAGGATTGCAAGTGCTGGGCAGGGAGTGGCAAAATAGAGGCTTGATTGTAATAGAGACTGGTTTGAGGACCTAGAAAGGACACTACTCATTCTATCCGAACGTGTGAGGGAGGCTTCAGGGAGGTGCCATCTTGAAGAATGTGTAATTCACCAATTCCTTACCTTAAGTCCTACAGGTACCACAAACGTAACAACCTCGCACTAAATTCATCTTATTTTCTCCCAAACCTGTACTCTTCGCTCCTCACTCCCTGCTGCATGCAGTTCATTCAGCCAACTGAATCAGGTGTAGGTTCTTCTCCACCCCCATTATCTTCCAGAGTAATGCAGTAGCTTCCTAAGCCACCCTCACCTCTCTTCCTTCTGTCTTCCATTCTGCCACCAGAGTGGTCCTTCTAAAATGTCCTACATTGCCTGGGACTTCCCTGGGGGTGGTGGTTAAGAATCCGCCTGCCAGTGGGGGCGATCCACCTCCCAGTGGGGGCGAACCCAGACAGGGGTTCGAGCCCTGGTCCGGGAAGATCCCACATGTTGCGGAGCAGCTAAGCCCGTGCGCCTAAACTACTGAGTCTGCGCTCTAGAGCCCACGAGCCACAACTACTGAGCCCGCGTGTCTAGAGCCTGTGCTCTGCAACAAGAGAAGCCACCGCAATGAGAAGCCTGCACACTGCAACGAAAAGTAGCCCCCGCTCACCGCAACTAGAGAAAGCTCGCGCGTAGGATAAACTTCAGACTCTTAATGTGCATCCAAAACTCTCCACGGCTTGGCTTCTTCCCCTTGTCAAGAATTTTCTTTGCCCTTTCCTCAAACCAGTCTTAGTTTCCAGCTGTAACAAATTATTTGTAGTTTCTCTAATGTGCCCAACTGTTTCAATTTTCCTGCTGGTACATTTTGTTTCAAGTTTAGAATCACCTGTTATCTGTCTTTAAAGATGCTACCCTTCCTTCAAAATCCACCTCATATCACAGTCTATATAAAGGTAGCTCTGCCCACTCTTCTGCTGTAGATTTAGTTGATCCCTTTTCTTTTGTGTTACTACCATTCCTCTACTATAGCACTTACACCAGTGAGCCCTTCAGGGCAGTAACTGCGCCATTCCATCTTTGTATTCCCAGTACCTAGCCCAATAATTGGCACATAGTCAGAGCTTAATCATTGTTAGTGAGTTTGATTTTGGATATATGGCATTTAGGATAACTGTGGGGCATCCACATGGAGAAATGTTCTGTCGGAGGAGAGTGGTAGCAGTGGCTGTTACTGGCTTTAAAGTAATCCTTTTAACTCTGAATGAGAATTATGTAAGCACAGAATGGTAAAGTAAGAAAAATGTTGGGTAGGACGCCCATTTAGGGAGTAAGTAGAGGAAAAGAAGCCAGAAAAAAAGAATTAGGAAGAAGTTGCCAAGAGCAGAAGGATGGAGCCTGGCACATAAAACATCCCTTTTTAGATGCCTAAAAAAACAAGCATAATGATGTCTAGAGATGCTGTAACCAAGTTAGTCAAACCTTTCAGACTTTATCCTGTGTATAGATGAACTTCTAACCTAAAATGAGTCATTCTGTTTGTAACCTGCTTTTCACGCTTGATTTCATCTCCGGAAACATTTTCAAGTGAATGTTTTCCTACATTATTTTTAATAGCATCCCACTGTAGGACCTGTTAACCTTTCTATACAGTGTTCCCCAAAGTTAAAATGGGGAGGGGAGAAGAACCTATCAAATTAGGAAGCCCTCATGGAGCCTCGTTGGGGTGTGGGCATGGAGGGATGGGAAAGCGAGTACAGACTTCCTCTGGCGGAGGCGGGGCCGGGGGCCTGCGGGTTGCGGGGCCGCCGGCTGGGGCGCCGCTGAGCGAGAGGAAGGGGCGGCGCGGGGCGGCGCGCAGCGGTTACTCAGGGCGGGCCGTTCAAACCGAAGGAGGGGAACGCGGCGGCCCCACACGAAGCTGGCGTGGGGGTTGCCATAGCCTGGCGTCGCTGAAGGCGAGGCCGCGGCTCCTCCCCTGCGCTCCAGAGGCAGCCGCCTCGATCCTCGCCCGCCCGTCGACCCCGTGGGTGCGGCCGCCCCGGGTCTCCAGGTGGGCGGGAGCGGGGGACGCCAGGTGTGTGCGGGCTGGCCGGCCTCCGGGCTTCCCCGGCCCCGCGCCCGCTCTAGCTCTGCTTCCCGGGTGCCGGGACTAGAGAGGCGCCCCGACGCCGTTCACTTTCCCCTCGCTCTGCTCCAGGAGACGGCCCACCCACCCTCAGCCCGTGGGTGGCTTCCTGGGCCCTGGGGCCAGGCCAGGCCTCCCTCCGACAGCCTGGCCTGGGGAGGGTCCGCGGAGGGACGAGAGGTCCGATTGACGCCTTGCGGAGACCGTTAACCACCCACCCGCCGACTGCTCCTGGGGGAGGAGATGACCGCGCTGCAGCTTACACTGCATCTCAGAAACCCCAATTTGGGAAGTTTCCTCCATTCCAAGGCTAGCTGGAGAAAACAAAGATATTAAAATTACTGTTGTCCGGAAAGCTGGAGGAAATTCAAAATGATTTAGGCCTTTTCAAGTGTTAGAACTAATCCCTGTAGCATGTACTTCACGTATACAAATTTTAGCCGGTATCGTGCTACTGCACGTTTTAATGAATTGTTCAAATTAAAATTTTCTCTTTAAGTGGTATTACTTTGGCACGAATTTTAAAGGTAAAGTGAGAAATTTCCTTTTTTGGAAGCCTACATAACGTTGACGTCTAAGAACTCAAGCTTTACTGATGGTAAGATTTTACACTTTAACAAATGAAGGAAATTTGGTTCTAATTTGTTATCATATTGTAAGTACTTCATTGAGTTAATCAGGTTTTTTTTTTTTTTTTTAAGAGCGCTATAGAGATAAGTGTTCTCAATCCTTATCAGGAGTCTGGTTTTAAAAAACGAATATTGAAGAGGCTTGTTTGATTCATCAGTGAACTGTTGAATCAGTAAAATTGAACAAGTCAACAGGCGTTCCACGATTTTGCATAAATAAATTTAAAGTTTGAATAACCACATTTTGTTTGAGACCAATGTCTTGGGTTGAAAATGATGAAAGGTGAAAAAAATGATGACATCAGAGAAAGCACGGTGGAAGCAACTTCAAATGTGTAGATGAACAGAAAAAATTAGGAAGTTTTTTGTATGTTTAAAGCAACCGGTTTATGGTTTTTAGCAGGGAGAGGATGATCTCTGCACCCCTACTCTTGTTTCTAACAATTTGCCTCTCAGATTCCCAAATTCTAGCATGGTGAGACACCTAGTGGTGAAGTAGGAGAATAGTTACATTTGTTGTAACTAAAAAAAAAGGCTGGAACCTAACTTTACCAAATGAGTGAAAACTGTTACTTAATAGAGTGATTCTCAGAGAGGGGGAAATATTCGTGGATGGAGGTGTAATTTGAAAACACATTCTATCTTATTAACTTAATATTTTGAAAACAAAAATTGTTTAAAAATATAATATGAATTATAGAAAGCAAAGTTTGATAATTTTGGCTGGTAAGCATGTACGGAAGAGAGCAGTGATTGTCACAATCTGAGGGAATCTAAATCAAAAGAGAATATGTGTGAGATTTACCAAAACGGAATATAGGTTTTAAAGACTGAAAAACACCTAGATACTTTGCCCAGTAATAATGATCTCCTAATGATCATTATACCATAAAGAAACTATTTGGTTTTGTGGTTATTGTAGCAATTTTTTTAAGCTCATTCATTTACATATTTAACTGATGTAACTTAAGCATAAATAAATTACTTTCGCATTATACTCAACTAAAATACATCTTCCCAGGATCTTTTTAATAGAGAAGAATCGTGTACTTGGCCTGGAGAAAACTTTGAAAGAATGACAATTTTCTTAGTGTCCCTTGAATAGTCTGCAGAAATATATGCTATGATAACTTTCTTATCTTTTCTTCTTATACTTTGAGCTAAGATGTAATTCAAGTTTCCACAAAGAAGGAATGCAATGATAGCGTTGAAAAGGTGAAAGAGTAAAGTATTTCCTTAAAAACAAATGAGTAAAGTATTTCCTAGTGTCATTCCTTACAAATATAATTACTGAATCACATTTCTTCTTTAAGGAATGTACTTGAATTCTTTATTTTCAATTTCAAGAATATTATAAAGGGTGAGTTTCCCCCAAATAGAAAATATTTAGAAGATGAGGCATGAATGAGTATAACTTGCCAGGTTTGACATGGCCATGTATCTGTGGAGCAGGGGTTCATTTTGGCTAACTCAAGAATGTGTTAGTAATTTATTAGTGAGCCAAAGAGTCTTTGCAAAGGTGAAAGTCTGCCAATTTAGACCTTGTGAATGGTCAGGAGGACTGAGTTTCTGAGACAGGCCCGTGTTACAAGTATAAATAACATTATCCTAGAGTTGTTTAGCCATATTGCAGTTTAGTCTAGTGGCAGCACGTACTTGACACATTTCCCAAATACATGTTTAAAAATCAGCATATAGTTGTTTTTTTAAGCAGCTTTATTTACATCGCACAACATCGAAAGGAAATATCCAACTGACAAAATATAGGTCAGCACAAATAAGCTAGAATATTAAAACTACAATAATGTACTTTAGCGCTGTAAAAGTCATAAAGTAATAAAATCATCTAAAAATGACGCCATGAGATTTTTTTTTCTCAAGTGTAGTTCAAGAAAACATTTGTGCATGGTGCCTAGACTATGCTTAGTCAGGTAATCTGTGAATATTTATTTCCTGGAAATTTTGGTCTTCGCGATGTTAAAACATTGTTTTATGTAAGAGACACATGAGTATAGTGTAGAGTAGATTTGTTTTTTAAAGTAACTTTTTTTATTGCCATACAATTTTCCATTATTATTTGTGCTCATAACAAGTAATGTATTTTGGTGTAAGCTGCCAGACTGTTCATTTCAAAGGAAGAATAAAATTTGTTTTCACTTTGTAGAAACAGAGATTTTGAAGATGTCAGAAAGGCATTCAGGTCAAGCTGGCACTGGAGCAGGAAATGAGGTGGACTCTCCTATTGTCAACATCAAGTCGTCCAGCTTTGGAGACTTTTGTTCCACATCTTCATTTCAAGATAGTGGCTACAGTGAGCTGTTAAAATCATGCAGCTTTGATAATACAGATAAAGAATCATTTGGAAAGAAAGAAAGAGGTTCAGCTTTAATCCATGAACATCCTGAAACTTCAAGTCTGGCCTTAACACATAGTTTAGAGTCTCCCACTCAAAGAAAGAGATTTGTCTTCCCCAGGAAGGAAAAGGATAAAACCCCAGACCTTTGTGAAACTCCTAAAGTCAGTGGAAAAAAATTTTTACTGCGCAGAAGATTGGATGTATCTTTCTCTCTTCTAAAGGGGGACTTTGAATCACAAAATAGTTCTCTCGAAAGTAGTACAAGCCAAGTTCCAAATTTAGAAAAAAATATTCCAAGCAGTGCTTCAGGTTTCCCAAGGCAAAATAATTTTAGTTCTTTAGTTACTAGCACTTTGAAAACAGAAGAAGCGACTTCCAGCAGTCAAAAATTGAGACTTAATTTTTCTCAACAGAAGACGTCCACAGTTGATGATTCCAAAGATAACTGTAGCCTATTTGAAGTTGAATGTATATCTCCAATTCAAGGCAATAGTTTAAAAGACTCTATCACACATGACTTTAGCGACAGCAGTCTATGTATTAATGATGAGAATACATATCCTGAACTTCTGGGCTCTTCGGTCAGTGGAACAACTTGTGGAACAGATGAGGACATATTTGTGACTCCAATAAGTAATCTTGTAGCAAATGTTAAATTTAATGTAAGTCAAAGGCTTTCTCCTTTAGGTGAAGTGAGACGAAATATTTCAACACCTGAAGACAGTGGCTTTAACTCACTTTGCTTGGATAAATCAGAAGATTCCCTCACTGACCAAGAGGGCTCTTTCCAAGAACTGCTTCAGAAACATAAGGGAACTCTCAAAGTCAGGGACACGGTAAGAAGATCAAGGCGTCTTGGAAGATTAAGAAGACTGTCCACCCTTAGGGAGCAAGGCTCACAATCTGAGACAGAAGAAGAAAAGCAGCCCAACCTCTCTGGCTCTGAATCAACACCAGTGGCCACTTCAGACATCTCAGAGAGTCAGCCAAGCAGTGACAATAAGAGTGGGGATTTGAGTTTAAGCTTTAAGAATTTATCAAAGACCCCAGCCTTGCAGTTAGTACATGAGCTCTTTATGAAAAGCAAAAGGAAAAGATTCCAGCAAAGCGGTGCACGTGAATTGTTAGAAGAAAGGGACGGGGGGAAAATAGCTGTACTACAGCGTGTACTTGCAGGCCTGATTGGCAAGAAAATGGGTATAGAAAAACTGGACATCTTAACAGAATTAAAATACAGAAATTTAAAGCATGTTCTTGCTATGGTTTTAGATTCCTTGGCTGCAGAAAGCCTATGCAGGTAAGAATTTTATTTTTTTCTGAAATAAAACTGCCTTTTATCATTTTTCTGTTAGTTGAGTACTTTTTTTTGAAATTTTGTTTTAGCATCTCTATCTTGGATACTTTATATTTTATCAAAGGTGGTTTAGTGAAATTCTTCAGTGTCTCAGAAATTTCACAGAAATTTCAGTATATTGAATGTTGCTTCATAAGTAAAGAGAAACTAAGTCACATATATAGGAGTATTGAGGGTAGGAACTAGAGTTACAAGACTAAAGAGAGACTGTGTTTATACTGGCAATTTTGCGAAGTGCAGGACTATCAGAAGACAAGGCCCTTGGGAATGCCGTGACCAGGAAGGAGGGAAGCCATGTGGAACAGGATTTTTGCAAGATCATGGTTGGGGAAGGACATGCAAGAGAGTTAGTGAGCCTCTTTTTCCATAGGTATGTGTGAAGAGTTGGGTTCATAGAATCCTTACTCTTTTATGGCCCCTGCTTCTATTTAAAACCTTTCTTCACCTTTTCCCCATAAATTAAATGTAGGCTATTGTAGAGAATTGTAGAATCTCATAGCTGGAAGTCTTCTGAAATGTCTAGTCCTATCATGTATTTTGCAGATGAGAAAACTGAGCTCCAGAGAAGTGATCTGCCAATGGTCACTCAAGGAGACAGAAACAGATCCAGGTCTACAGCTGAGCCCTCTGATTTCTAAGCCCATATTTTCCCAAAACTCTTATTAAGGTTTAAGTCCTTTCAGAATAGCCTTGATCAGGAATGTCTTTGGTGTAACCCAAGTAGGATGATAAGCAGATTAATGGCCTACATACATGTGCCTTTAAAAAATGTTCAAATGAGGTAAATTATTTGTTTAAAAAAATGAGATGGCTGCGACATAGGAATTTTATTTTTATATGCTGGAGTATTTGGATACAGACCAGTTAGAATTAAAACCTGGGTGACTCTTTTGGGTGCTCACTTGTAGGAACAAATGATATTCAGTCATATTTCAATAATTGCCTTTGCTGCCATCCCTCTAGATTTATAGTATTTGTATTGCAGAGTGCATGTATAATCTTGGCAGTGCTTATTCTTGGTAATATGAGAAATTACGGTCAGTTGAAATAGCTGAGGCAAATACCCAAACGTGTATTTCATTTCTTCCCCATTAATGAGTGACTTTCTGCCTATATCTCTCCATCTATCTGATATAAGGCACATGTATCGGCGTAAGGAGAGGCAATGGCAATTGAAGTGGCCACGGTAACTGGAAGAATAGTAGTGTTGACAACTCAACTATAACCTGGGGCCCTCCATAACCTTCTCCTGACCTCATTCACTTTGAGTGATTCGTTAAGTTAAAGTAATAAAAAAGACCATATTAACAGTTGCAGGATTAGCTTTTCTTTAATAATTAATGTAGTCAAAGTTATTGATAAATAAGCAATCACTAGACATAAATTGTGTTTTTCTTTAGCTGCTTTAGTCTTATAAACTTTGGTTTATAAAATAGGAACTTTGTAGTGCTACCCGTAATAATGTTTATTACAGCTGACCCTTGAACAGCCAGAGATTAGGGGCGCTGACCCTCTGCCATGCAGTCTAAAAATCTTTGTATAATTTATAGTCAGCTCTCCATATCCGAGTTTCCTCCGTATCCGCGGTTCAGCATCCCTGGATTCAACCAACCAGTCTGTGTAGTATTTACTATTGAAAAAATCCACCTGTAAGTGGATCCCCAGAATTCAAACCCATGTTGTTCAGGGATCAACTGTATTTGGCACTTAGTACTTCCAATAAAGGATTGATTCCTTTTGTGTTTATTTAATCAAAGTGACAGAAATTCGTTAAATACAATAATAGGAGAAATTTATAGAATCTCTTGCACTACAGTTGATAATCATTTGCTGCATGTCATGTTCCAAATTTTTAATCTTAGTGTCATGTTTAAGTTAAATCCTCTTAATTAGCCTCGCAGTGGACTCATTTGGGTTTTTATGAAACTTTGTTTTTTCCTTAACCATTTATGAGATAGTAATCTGTCAATATGATGCTGGCATATTTTAATAGGTATTCTTTCACAACTATGCAGATCAAGTCATATTTTTAATGTAAAATTTTAGCTTTAAATAAACTATCCAAAATCTTTAAAATGAATTTTTCTTATTGTCATGTGTGAAAAATATTAATTCTGTGGAATATATACAATATAAGGACTGATCTTTTTGTTACAGTATTTGGAAAGTGAGCAGAAATTGGCGTGAAATTATTATTCAAGACAAAAAAGCAAATCAGAGGAGGAAATTTCATATCACACAACTGAAAACAGATTCTGAGGTAATGTATATAATACTATTCTAAAATGGATTTGTATAAATATCTAATAATCCCATATGGCTGGACAACCTCATTTGGTTTTCCTGCTATCTTGCTATCTTTTAACCTTTCCACTTACCAACATTGACTCATAAACTCTTTTTTTGTTTGTTTTTGGCTGTGCCACATGGCTTGTGGAATCTCAGGGATTGAGCCTGGGCCACGGCAGTGAAAGCCTGGAATCCTAACCACTAGGCCACCAGGGAACTCATGCACTCATAAACTCTTTATTTTTCCCAAACTCCATCTCTACCCAGTGCATCAGTGGAGTAGACTAACTGACATCAAGAACATCTTACTGGGTTTTGTTGTTAAGTGTGTATGCTGTTAGCAGTATTTGAATACCATTTGAATAGGATATGCCGGACCCTATTCATAGTTAGACATCCTTATAGCATTTTCCCATCCAGTCTTTTGAGTCGATACTACATGCAGTTGCTTAGATTACAATGTGAACATTTGTGACATGATCCCTTGCTTTCTTGGCACTCATACCCTGTGGGTGATAGTTATAAACAGGTGATTACAGTACAGGTGTGTTAGAGGAAGCCCAGAGTTCTCTCTATTGAACACTTAAAAGGAGTGGGGATCAAGAGGAGGAAAAAATGCATCTCAGCTGAGAGCTGAATAATGAGTTAGGGAAGGTGTTTCAGCGGAGGGAATAGCATATATGGAGGCCTGGAGGTGAGTGAGCATGGCAGATAAGTACTTGTAAGACATCATAAACTTGTGCTCTCTTGAAGATTTGAGGTCCAGCTTTGAAGTTACAAGAAAAGTTTTACGGAAGCTGATTGTTTCTGGGGATACTACTTTGTATAACAGGCGTCTCATGACTCTGGCACCCATATTTACTGTATATTCAACTTTTAGACCTTTCTTAGGCATCGATACCAAAAGAAGCTCTGAGAATTAACTCTCTTATTCTTGTTCTAGTAAAAAGTGTTTAATAACATAAGTAAATTTATAATTTGGTGAAATATAATAACTGAGATGAAGCATGGTATAAACTAATATGAACACCTAGATACAGATTGGGGGGTTTCTCATTCCAAGGAAATATTAGGGACCGCTATTAACTAAAGTATTGACTTTCTATTTCATTTGAAGAAATGTTTTACCTTCTCACCTATAATAACCCTTCACGACTGACTCACGGCTCTTGGCTACCGCTGCAGCTGCTGGCTCTGGGAGCTTATAATACTGAAGATATAAATTTCCTTCTCAACGTATCATTTTAGAGTGGCTCCCTACATGCTAAGGACAGACCAAAAGCACATTTTTAAGCAAGTACCCATTAATATCAAACTTTTAGCTCCATGTACTCTTTACATCCTATGTGGAAGAAACATGTTGTATTGGTAAGCCTTCGGGTAGTTCTAGATAAAGCATTCTACCCTCATATCCTAGCCACCATTTTTCTTTTTAACTTGGTTTCTTAAAGGACTGTACTTTTTTCCTTACTTGAGTATTTTCCTTTATTCTGATTTGCTTAAAATTTTTTTTTCAGTAGACACAGTACATGGTTTAAAACATCAAATTGCACTTTAAAAAAGCACATATTCTCCTGCGCTTCCTACTCTTGATTCTTGCCCCATCGAGGCAATCACTTTTTAGTTGTTCCTTTTGATATTTACCTCCATATTTCTGAATGGCATGCCTTTACTGCTGTTTCTTCTTTTGTTTTTTTCTATAGAGGGACTAGGTGAGTTCTCTAACCTCTCACCACTACCTATCTACCCACCTCTCCCTCTGAAGTCCTTTCTCCTATCTTATGAATGTAACTACACCATCGTTTGGGAGCGAATTAGAATTAGGTGCTGACATTATTAAGACTGCGTTGAGATTCTTATGACTTTTTGACAGCTGTGACATGTAGTACAGTATGATTATACCTGTTATACCTTTTTTCTTATAACTTTTTTCCTCAGAGTTAATAATTGCCCAGTTTCTTTCTTTCTTTCTTTTCTTCTTCTTTTTTTTTTGCTTATTGTTTTTCTATACAGATCCCTGACTCATCTCCTGTTATCCACCAGAACTGGAAATCTCCTCTTAACTCTGAATGTATCAGGTATTCTACCTGTTCCCTCTTTTCCTCAGAGACATCCTTCCAGATGCCTTTTGCCCTCCTCTTCTGAAATGGACTGGTTGCTTTCTACCTGAACTATCCTAATGTATATCATTAACCAAAACAGAAAAATTATAAAACAAAGTTGTTTGGTGGTTTTCCTCATACTTGTATAGTGTCACTGAAAGCCCTTTATATGTAAAAATTAAAACGCACACACCAGCTATGTGTGATAGGATCTCTATTTAATCTGTTTGCTTTGCAGCAGTGAGAATGACCATTAAAATCAGAATATCACACTTTTTCCATTGAATTTCTTAATTTACTGTAGTCTCCCCTGTTTTCTTATAATCATGGAAATGAACATCAGTAAGGTGACTCCCCTGTCACATTTAAATATTTTCTGGTAACGTGATGGAGACTATATTTTGAAAAATGTTGGTGCTCACGAATGCGTGCCTTTGTTGGCTGCTTGACCTTATACTGTTCAGAGATAGTAGCACACATTTTAAGCTCCAAGAGGGCAGGGATTAGACTGTTTTATTCACTCGACACCTAGTAGATGTTTTATGAATGTTTGTTAAATGAATGAATGTTTCTTCTGTGGATGAAATTTGCTTCAACAACATATCTCTATTCATTTTTTGGTGCATGCAGCATCACTGTGTTTGCCAACTGCATCAAGATCCAATGGGTGTCTTCTTTTAGTATGCTCTTGTGCCATACGCTTCTAGCTTAGGCTGCAAATCATTTCTAAAGTGTAACATAAAGAGATGTATTGAGTCCTTGAATAAGTTCAACTGTATTAATTCTAATTTCTGAAAACCAATATTCATCCATGACACTTATGCATATGTTGTTAAACTGTTAATGGCATAATTTTTCATGGCCAGCTAACTTCATTCCTATACTTATCCTACTGTCATTTCTCATATTTTTAACTCTCCCCATTTAGGAGCCAACTCTGGCAAAAGGAGACTATCAAGGGAGAGGAAACACAATTATAGTTGGACACTTAAGGAAATTCACCTGTAGTACATTTTATTTTGATAATTGGTTACGAATGCCAATTTGTTAAAAAAAAAACTTACTATTTTTTCTCATTCCCAACCTTAACAAAATAGAAGGCTATAAGGATTATTCATTGAAAATATTTCTTGGCTAAATATTTGAGTAATGTGGAAATCCAGTTCAAATAAGAGACATTTTTTTCTCCTTTTAAAATATCAAAGCTGTTTAAAACTCAAGCGTAAAAATTAATCAAGTATTGCAAGTATCTGGTATTTGTACAAACCAGCCAAACAAATTGGGTTTCATGGTCTAACCAGGCCCATTATTTTTCTGACATGCGGCTAAGGTAAGAAACCTTCAAAGAATTCCATGATGTCCCATAGTAAGCTTTGATTCACCTCCTCTTACACCTTGGCCTAAAAGGGGACTTGGTAAACTCTGATCTGTGGGCCAAATCCTGTCCATCACCTGTGTTTTTAAAGTAAGTTTTATTGGAACACAGCCCTGCTCTTTTCATTTACATATATCCATAGCTGTGTTTGCTAAAACAACAATTAAGTAGCTTGCAGCTATCTGGTCCTTTTCAGGAAAAGTTTGCAAACCCATGCTCTAAACAGAAAAATAACCAAGCATGCGAACTTAAAGCTAGCATTTATTGTCTTAATTTTTTCTTTTTCTTTTTCTTTGACTTTTAAATGCTAGATGAGAGGGTTTTTTTTTTTTTTTTTTTTTTTTTAAAAAGGAAAGGTTTAGGGAGAAAATTCTAGTAGTGTAAAACCACTTCCAAACATTTAAATACATGTGCATCAGAAAGCTGTCCTGGAACTTTTGATATTACAGTGTTGACCCCTCTTGTCTTTTACCACAGGGGGCTATATTAAATGTTGATGATGCTGCCACTCGGCTCCATCTTTTAAATCGATCAGCTTTAAGATCTGTGCAAGCACAGGCTAGGACACCAGGTTTTCAGAAAGAACAAGTTTCAACATTTTCTCCTTGGGGAGAAGTTTTGACACCTATAGCGAGTTCTTCTGTTACTCACTTAAGTAGTAAACAGGAAGAATATGTTAAGGTGAGTATCATAAGTTATTAGAAGTAAATATTTACAGAGTTTGAAATAAAGCAATTCTCTATGCGAAAATGGAAGATTTAGTTTGTGTGCTTTTACTACAGGTTGCCAAAACACTTTTTATTGATGAAGCATTAAAACCTTGCCCAAGGTGCCAATCCCCTGCTAAGTACCAGCCTTATAAGAAAAGGGGACTATGTAGCAGCACAGCCTGTGGTTTTGACTTTTGTGTGTTATGTTTGTGTGCTTATCATGGGTCTGAAGAATGTAGTAGAGGAGCAGCAAAGCCAAGAAATAGAAAAGATGCTCTTCCAGGAAGTGCCCAGAGTAAGCGGAATTTAAAACGCCTCTAAAGAGACTTCACATATAAAAGAAGCATTCCCTCTAAGCAACATTTTGTTTGGCTTAAAATTATGAATATTTTGAAAGCATGCAAGTCTTCCCGTCAATGACAGATGATGATTTATTTCCTACTTTGTATATATTGTGATCCATGTCATTGTATGTTTTCTTTAAAGCAGTGAGCTTTGAAAAAATCTTATTTTACAATGTCATTTTTACTCATTTTAATAATTTAGTGTTTTTAAATAAAGAATTTTCAGTGTTTTATATATATGTATTTAACTGTTTCATGTAACATTTAAAAATTGTGCATTTCATCACTATGTGTTGAAATGTTCTTCGATTACTTTTCAAAAGTAGTTTTCCAAATAGTATTAAAAGTTCTGAACTTGAGATAGATGGCCTTATAGATTTCAAAATCTTTGAATATTTGACTGAAATGAAATGTAAATAAAATGTTTTCAGAAGTTCTGTTGAATTTACTCTATAATCTCAATCTTTCTCTTAATTTAATTAATGTCATATTTGGGCAGACTTCTGGTTAAATAAAATTTACTTAATATTGATAACTAAGATGTAAAAAGTAAATTATTAGATATATGTGGTTTTTCACCATGAGAGTCTTAGGTAATAAACACCCATAAGTCACACGTAAGTTTCCTTTACCTTGTTACACATGAAATTGTCAGTAGTGCAATGTAGAAATCTGGAATCCTATCTCTGGTCCATGAGGAGGCACTTTGTATATTGCAGTCACATTGCCCTCTCAGTGTGTCACATTTGTCATCTTATGGTTACTCAGTCCATTAAGAAAGTAGTATTTTATTTCACTCTGGTGGTGAAAAAGAAGATTTTACCACATTTAGTTTTAGAAATCAATAATCTACATGTGTTCCTCTCTACTGAAGGAACTGTTGAACGATGGAAGTTCAATTAAAAAAAAAAATTTCTGGCTTTAAATTGGGATGAGTATTGTAATAAAGTCAATATGAGTGAAATAGTGTAAGGACTTAATACCACATATTTAAATGAGTTTATAATAAAAATAAAACTTTCTGAAGACAAAAGATCAGAGTAGAAATTCAAAAGTTAATGAGTGAAGCTAATTCCAAGCTTCTTATTGGTAGGTTTTACATTTGCGATGAGGTCAAGAGGTAGGTAGGTTAACTGGAAGAAAATCATATGGTCTTCATGAATAACTTTATTAAAGTCTCCAGATATCCAGAAAATAATCATCATTATTCTAATTGTTATAAATTATTATGTATTATAGTAACTGGCTGGTGCAGCTACCCTAGCCATATGTTCCAATAGCGTCCTGTGCTTCCTCTGTCGGGGCACTTAGTTTCACTTTGCTTAACTTGTTTTTTAATTTTCTTTCCCCATGAGACTGTAAGCTCTGTGAAGGCCTGTCATATTTGATTTAAATATCGTTGTATCCCTAACACCTAGCCTGGTACCAGGCAACTAGCAGGTGCTCAGTAAATATTTATTGAATGAGTGGATTTTTTTTAGTGCTATCAGTGTTAACTTTTTATCCAAGTAAACCATTATAACGCTATCCTAATAATTTGTTAATTTTTAATGCTTGATTTCATTGATTAATGCTTGATTACATGAAAAAGTAAAATCTAAATGATTTCTTAAATTGATTTTAAACGTGTAATCTAATCAATAGATTTGTTTGGTCTACTCATTCTTTTAGCTGATTTTTCTATAACTAGTTAGGGTGTAATGCAAGGAATACTAGGCCAGGAATCAAAAAGCCTGGGTTGGTATCCTGAACTACTTACTAGCTGTGCCCTTATGCAAGTCACTTATTGATTCTGAGTATATTTCTTTAACTATAAATAAGGGAAGTTAAAAGAAATGATGTATTGTGAAATTACCCTGTTAACACCAATCAGTGTTACTACACGTTTGGCTGTACGTGAATACAATAAAGTGAAATAACATTTGTGGGGATAGAGCATATGATCTTGATATCATTAACACTATGCTGAATGAAACCGTAAAGTCAACCTCTAACCTGCTTGTGAAAATTGTTTGGTTGGAAAAAAAATTCAACAAACAATTAATTGAGCATTTGCTATGTCCAGGCACTGTTCTAAGTCCTTTACATGAGTTAACTCATTTATTCCTCAAAGTGACTCTATAATGCAGTTATCATTCCTTTTTTATATCAGGAAACCAAGAATCAGGTTAAATAATGTAAAATCACACAGATAGCAAGTGTGGGGAGCCAGGATTCTAGCAGAGGTAGTCTGCCACTTGTATGTGACAAAACTCTTTGCAGAACCCTTGTTGATAAATTCAAGATGCATATAATTACCATGTCTTTAATGGAAGATTGTTTTGCCATTTAAGAAAAATCTTTTGGTATACCAGGAAAAAAATTCTAAGTTAGAACAATTCTGCCTGAACAGAGTAGTTCCTTAGCTCATGAGTGGCTTAAACAACTATCTCATTTGATAAACTAAATGAACTGCATGAATACAATTATCTTGAGAACTCAGTTCCAGAGGAAGGCCACTGGTTCCATCCCAAGGTCTGTGTAATCTAAAGAATCAAGGCATGAAGACAAGAATAAGTATTACCACATTCCAGTAATGACTACATTCTTATAGGTTCTGATTATTGTGTGAGAGTAAGTAATAAGAAGAAGCTCACCGATCATTTCTTGATGGTACTCAGTTCCCAAGAAGATTCCAAAACAAGAGGGATGATTAAATTTGGCACTTTATTCTTCTGTTTCACTTCTTAATGAAGACATTAGGAAAATAATTAGTATTAATTCTGGGGAAAACCAATAAATTCTTTACCTTCTACTGATTTAGGATAACAGTCTCTCTGTCGTTTACCCCTATTGTGTGCCCCCCTTGCAGCCTTGCTAGCAAGTGGGCAAGAATATTCTATTTGACTTCTACTTGATTCCAGGAATGACGGATATGTTTTTATTTTGACCCCCTAGTTTAGAAAAAAATGGTGATAAACTTGTGATAAGTCATATAAAGTGAAACAACACTTTAAGAGCTATCTGATCATTTTATTATAGCATTTCTATGGGCGAAAATAATAGATTTTAAAATCTATTCCAGCTATTTAAAAGGCTTAATAAGGTCTTATGGAATTCTTAGCAATAATTTAATGGTAGAAGTACTACTGAGAAAACTTTTTTTTTTTTTTTGTGTACGCGGGCCTCTCACTGTTGTGGCCTCTCCCGTTGCGGAGCACAGGCTCCAGACGCGCAGGCTCAGCGGCTGTGGCTCACGGACCCAGCCGCTCCGCGCCGGACCGGGGCACGAACACGTGTCCCCTGCATCGGCAGGCGGACTCTTAACCACTGCGCCACCAGGGAAGCCCGAGAAAACATTTTTGATACTTATGTAGCACTGCGTAAAGCTAAGTTTTTTGATTACCTTTCCTTAATTTACGACACAAAGCAAAACCGTCAAAAATTTATGACTCAAAAAACTACTGAACATTTCTACATTTGATCTCTTCTGTTCCTGGTTTGCATTAAGTTACTTATATGGATTTATTTTAAATTGTGTCTCTTAAAACGGAAATACCCATTATTGTTTCTGTGTGGAGGAGGGTAAATATTTCAAAGCTCACACTAAACATTCCACAAGGGGGCACCAAAGACTCATTTATGGTGATTTTGGCTCCCCTTCAAAAAAAGTAAATTTAGCTTTTATATATTTGATATTGATGTGGTGTGACACTGCCAGATAGGGGAAATGTTCCTTGACTTAATTTTTAAAGGGTATATAGAATAAATTTTGGTAATAGTTATTACTAAGAGTTGGTAATTAAAATACTTTAGCTGACTTGCAAGAGTGTACTGTTTTCCGGGATGACTTTTAGCAGAACACCATGTTGGCGGCTGGGTCCGTAACTTGGCCATCTGTGTTCTCTTGCCCAATGGCTCTGCCATGCTGGCTCCTTCATCACAGACTGTGGAGCCAGAGGAGTGGAAGGAGCAGTAGAAACATGGAGGTGAGTGCTGATTATGAATGGTGATGGCATGCTACCAATTTTTTCCCTCTGGAATTCTCATTTCTGCAGAAAGATGGTGCTGGTTCAGGTCATAATCACATCCTGCCTAGATTCTGCTCAATGCCTCCTAACAGGTCTCTTTGCTTCTACTTTCTCCCCATCTGACTCTGTCCTAGTGTCCATTGCCAGGTTATTTGTACTAAAACATGGCTCCAATTATGTTGCTTCCTATTAAAGATGTGGCAGAATTTAGGACCTCCTAATGGTCCTAACTTTCTAGCAATCTCTCCCACCATTCCACTCTGTACACTTTCTTCCAGCCAAACCAGACTCCGTTACTGTTTTCTAAACTCCCCCTGTGCTTTCTCCTGCTTCTTCTCTCTCTTGCCACTCTAAATCCCATCAAATCCAGCTAATCCTTAGTTTCTTTCCATGAATCATTTTTTTTTTTTTTTAACATCTTTACTGGAGTATAATTGCTTTACAATGGTGTGTTAGTTTCTGCTTTATAACAAAGTTAATCAGCTATACATATACATATATCCCCATATCTCTTAAACCAAACAAATAAGAAACCCACTCGTTGTGCGTGGTGACACATTGGTCTGCACTTTGCTTTTTCCTTATCTATCTCTTTTCCTTATCTATCACTGATACAGAGCTGCCTCATTCTTTTTACTAGCTGCCTGTGGTTGTACCATAATAGAACCCAAACCCGTCCAGATGGACAAATAGGTTGTTACTGAGCTTTTAGTCTTTGTTTTCTTTTTTTAAAATTTTTTAATTTATTTTTTTATACAGCAGGTTCTTATTAGTCATCAATTTTATACACATCAGTGTATACATGTCAATCCCAATCGCCCAATTCATCACAACACCCCCCCCACCCCCCCGCTGCTTTCCCCCCTTGGTGTCCATACGTTTGTTCTCTACATCTGTGTCTCAATTTCGGCCCTGCAAACCTGTTAATCTGTACAATTTTTCTTTTCTTTTTGAATTTTCAACATTTATTTATTTTTTACATCTTTATT